TGCATATAAAATTTACGTTTTGCTTAATAAAGTTCTACACAATCCCGGTATGAAGCAATGATCAATCTCTTTTGTAGGCGCCACATTCTACAAGACAGCTACCAAAATCAATCACTTTTAAAATAGCTGTATCCTTGTCAGCACAGGGCATGGTTTTGGAATTTCAGTAATAAAACACATAGTGTTTTCACAATGAAACACAGAATTACCTGAAAAAGACTAGATGTTTTTCCCGTTTGTGCTGTCGAAGAAAATGCACCAGCTGATTAAATTTTTCATCTGCCTTGCAGATCTACACTATGCAAAAGAAAAAGAAAAAAGTAAGAAAATGGACTTGATACAAAGTGATCTGCCAGTTTCCTCCATTCACTGTGCACTGATAAACGCCTGCAGGCACAATTTCTTAATTCTGATCATTTATACCACAGTTCATCACGTGGAACATTACTCTGATGTATGTTAAGTAAAAGCAAATACTTCAGCTCCCACTCTTCCCATCCCCAGCCACAAAACCTCTCCTGCAGCAGTATCTCGAGCATCCCTCGGCCACTTCTCTGAAATTGCCGAAGTCTCCTCCCATGCCCATTCACTACAGGCAGGTCAAGGAGCCACAGCGCTGCAACTGCTTTAGGGTTACAACTACTCCTGGCCAGCCAAACAAAACAACAGGGTTGCCAGTTTAGATCTTCCTCCTCAGCTTGCTTGATGATCTTTGGAGAACCTGTAAAAGCTTCATGTCTTTGAGAGTTCTCGTTCCTCTATTAACGGGATCCTAACTGGCCAAGACTCAAAAACTTACCGGCAATACCAGGAAAAAAGGAGAGGGAACAATAAACTACCATAAAGCACACAGGTCCGCACCATATAATAGTTCTCCAGGCGCGTTGGCGTTTTCTGCGTGTTGCTTGCTGCCACTCCCTTCTCTTTGACCGAGATGCGGACAGGATTCCGGAGACCTGCTCTCACCAGGTTCTCCACCTCTTGCGTCTGAGTTGCTGAGAACAGACCTGTCCGTCTCTGCTTTGGCAGAAAGTCCAGAATGGTATTTAAACTGCAAGTAAGCACACATAAAACACTAACTGTCCCCAGACTTCCCTCAGAAATAAGTTTAATCACTGGAAGTAAGAGTTTACAAACAAAACAGTTTTTATTATCAAGAGCCAATCTGCTACTAAACTAATTATCTTAACTTTGGGAGAAAAGAGAAGAGAGACATCAAAGCTTATTTGCTGAAGTGTTTTAAGCCATTCTAATGTGTAAATAATGATACTTAGTGAAGCATTAATATAGCAAGTGGTAACAAACATCCAAAAAAAAGAAATTTTAAACTCTGTATTCATCAAGGATCCACTCTTTTCCAATTCTCTTCCCCTTAGCAATGGCTTTATGTAGTTTACGGAGCAAAGTGAGATAAAAGAACAAAACAGAACAAGTCGAACTGAACAGGGCATTGTAGGCCACAATCATTCACATCAATCATACATAAACTCATTTAAAACTTCAGAAATATTACTAGAATTTATTGTTTAAATACCTTGCTTCAAAGCCCATATCTAGAAGTCTGTCGGCTTCATCTAATACCAACACATCAAGAGACTTCACACAACTTGCTAGATCCAGCCCATCGGCTTTTCTTCTGAAGAGATCCTCCAAGCGGCCCGGGGTAGCTACGATGATGTTCCCACTGTTTGCAAACAAGACACACGGCAATTTTGTAACTGCAAGGTAAGGACTTCGGAGAAGCTAAGAACACCACGACAGCACAAACCTGCACTCAAGTTGACTGCACTTTTCAATAAAACAATTTCAGTTTGCCACTTCTAACTGTATTCATGTTTCAGCGCCTTTCAGACACTATGTTGCTGGGAGACAAACACTCAGGTGAAAGCACACCATTTGTGGTAATAAAAATTTGGAATATCATCAGCAACTATCAGCTAGAATATTTGGTACCTCCACATAAAACTTAGCAGCAAATATGATTGCTTCAAAACTTCCTCATTAGTATCAGCACCAAACAGTTCCAGAAAACAATTTATCAGCACAGTGTCAATCTCACTGGAGCCTACCACTAGCACAACATTTACAGGAAAGAAGGAACTGAAATATTCAGTGAAGACAGTTTTCAGCTCACCATGCTGCAAGCTGTTCTTCACCCAAACAGCACGTCAGTGGCACTGACTTCATACACAATCTTTTGCCTCATTATGGCACATCTCACTCAAGGAAGAGAATCCACAATCTCCTCAGCACGCACCCTCACATACTCACGCAGTACCATCAAATTTCAGCACCCACAAGACCAAAGTCCTAATCTGAAAACCCCAAGGATGGGCAGTAAACCACAGCTGCAAAGCATGGATAAAATTATTGACAATCAACTCACCCCTGCTCTTGAAACTTCTCAACATCTTCTATGGGATTCCTACCACCAATTAAAAGAATCTGACTAAAACAATAAACCAGAAAGATTTCAGTTTGCTAGTTTACGAATGACAGAAGTCCAAAGAAAAAGGAACTATGGTCACGACAAGCTTAAAAGTTCACTCACCTAAACCTAGGGAAGTGTTTTGTGAAATGTGATAGCACCTCATCAATTTGAATAGCTAATTCTCTTGTTGGTGTGATAATTATAGCTCCAACCTGCACGTGAAAAAGGATTTATGGAAAATAACAGAAGAGAATAAAGATTTGGGCAAAATTCCCCCTTACAAGGTAAATGCATACCAGCCATGTTTACAATCCTAGTTTTAGACAAAACATTTACATAGAAAAACAACAAAGTATACAAAATAACAGAAAATTTCTATGAAAGAGATACTACGCCAACGCACAAAATACCTCTGCTCAAAGAGCAGTATCTAATAATGACATTTAACAGCAAGTAACAGCGCAAGTTCTCTGTATCTAATCTGTATCTAATAAATTATAAGTAATGCAACTAAAACGTATCTGAAGTCAATGGATGCAAAAAAGCACACAAAGGCTCTTGTTTGCAGCACATCATCATATTTGACATTTTAAGACACTTTTCTAACAGCTCAGAAACCTGTTTTGATCACGCCAAATAAAAACCTGTATCTAAGTGCAAAGCAAGCACCCCATTATTTATTTTCAAGTTTTAAAGGGTTTGTCAGTACTGCTACACCAAAGAGCTGAGCACGCAGGCACTTCCTGTGTCTGCAATTTTCCTTATTGGTACTTTTCCTGAAGTTGTCCAGCCTTATCGGCACATCATAAAAACATACTCAGAACTCAATAGCTTAAATCTTACCTGCATTTTCTTTAATTTTTCCTCCCGTCTGAGAAGAATTTCCATTATGGGAATTACAAACGCTAAGGTTTTGCCACTGCCCGTTACCTGTGAGAAGGAAAACAGAGACAGCCCCCCCTCAGGTCCACAGACAAACCACGAACGAAACCCAAACGAACTCGGACAAGAAAACGCACTCACCGCTTCCGCGGCAACATCCTTGTTGTTCATGAAGAGCGGAATGGTCGCAGACTGAAAAAAGAGAAACACCAAGCGAGTTTGCTCTGGTGGAAACAAATCCCAAGAGGCGAAATCCGCCTGAAGGACACCGAAGCTCTCTATAAACCTCACCCAGGCAGAGCCAGTGGCGGGAAAGCCAAGGGCCGCGACGTCCCTCGCTGCTGCGGAACCCGCCGCCTGCTCTGGCCGAGCTCCCTGACCCCGCACTGCTCGCACCCAGGCCCAGGCGCCGC